ATTTTTTATTTTATAAATTAGATTCCATATAAATTTATATTAGTGCGGCTGGGGGTTTAGCTTAGAGGCACAAATACCTGCTTTGCAAGCACGAGGTCCTGAGTTCAAGTCTCGTTACAAAAAAAAAAAAAAAGATTTGTATTATTAGAAAATGTGTTGAAAGTGATATTACCAAAGAAAAAGAAACAAACAAACAAAGAAAGAGAGTCCAAAAATAAAACATATATAGAAAGGGAATGTTAGATTAGTATGGCATTTAAAGTAAATTTGATAGAGACAAAAGATAGTGGAAAACAAATTCACAGCTATTTATATTAAATACTAGAAAGTGAGTAAACAAAAATACTGAGATAAAATATTTTGTATTGACTAATACAGTAATTGTGGAAATAGTTCTCATCATTTGCATATTAATCTCTGTGAGAAACTCCTAAGTTCCAGTGAGTAATTTTGCGAATTCCTGGAAAACCTTTGATATCAGATTTTTTTTTTAATTTTGGAGAGATAAGGGCATCTATTCAGTAAGGATCATTTACAACCCACACTGAATCATAATCTATCCTTGTGCTTACTGAAGAGGTTCTATAAGTAGGTCAAAAAATACAGATCTTTAACATAGCAGTGGACAACTTTTTAAAGATACTGGCACTACCTCAAATGAAGACAAATGAAGACATATTCATATTTCAGCAAAGCTTCTGTCGGAGTGTCAGCATATGTTTAGCAAAAGCAACATTCAAATGCAATAAAAAAGACGAAGTTCACTAAGTTTTGTTAAGCATGAATGACAAAGAGTTTGTCAATTTATTCGATGATAAAAACTTGCAATTATTTTGTCATTTAAGCAAAGCATCTTTAGAGAAATCTGTGTCTCCTTAGAATATCTCCTGAAATTGTAATTTAAAATATAAACTTAATAGAATAATGAAAATGATCAATTTTGTGCCATCTCACCCATGTTCTTTTTGGGTGTTTACCTGAAGAATAAAAATAAGTATTAGTATGTATTTTCAAGATGATGAACTAAAAAATATAACTACTAAAAATAATTCATTGTATCAAACAGGAAATATGTATAACATATTTAGTAGTCTATTGCTAGTATTGCATGATGACTTCATGTTGATTAGGTAAGAATGTTTAGGCCAGCATTTAACTGATGATTATATATTACAGAATAATGCATGTAAATGTCAGAGTGAAATTCATCATTAATACAACAGTGATTATTAAAATAAATCATGGGATAATAGGGCAATATTTGATTTGGGGTAAGACTAAAGTGTGTTACAAGTCACTTTGATCATTTATTCTCTAATGAGATTTGGAATTTTACTCACTCATCTAAAACATTTTTCACTGTTTCTAAAATGTTTGGTAATATGATTAATCATGAGACTGTTTTAGAAACTGAATTAAATTAAATATTGAATTTAACAATTTAGTTTTTAACCAAAATGAGCACACAGTCAGCAAGCATAGTGAAGATTTGTACTATCCCTTAAATCATAGTATATTCTCTCTCAGGGAAAACACCTCACTTTCAAACACTTGATGGAATAATAGTTTTCTCACATGGGAAGAGGCAGAGCAAGATCAGATTCAACATTTTACATTGGTTTCTCAAAGTTAGACATCAAAATAGGAAATTAGTTCTGTGTCCTCATTGGATGCTGTAATAAATAGAGTCTCTCTTCCCACAAATTTTGAAATACAAAGTATGGGTGTTAGCCATGTGATACTGAGGTATGTGTTTGTATACAGAACAGCATCAAAATTGAATCAGTGAACATCAGCCTATAATTTCAAGAAAGAAAACCCACAAATATATTTACTAAAAATTGTTCATAAGTATTAATCATTCATCATGACAAGACTGCTATGAGACATAGAGCTTTTGCCTCAGTAATGAAGTATTTCAGAACAAGATTCATCTCACATGGTCAGTAAAATGATCAAAAGAATACATATATTAAGCTGTCTTTTCCAATATTACAGTACTGCCTAACCTGAATTGAAATATCAAGTGGATCTTACAATAATTATCATGATTCTCTGACAGAATACTACTCTACTCCAATATACGTATCAAAAATATTCAGTGTCTCTTTTTTCATTCACATGATAAGCTCAATTATTTCCCTGAATTCAACTCCCTGTATTGCACCAAATCTCCATCAAAGTCTACAACATAGGCCTTTGTCAATCATACCCACATAGTCTGTTTCCAAAGATCTAGATAAACTTTTATTGGTAGAAATTAACTGGCCACCTTTTGCAAATTTTCTTTACAGGATTCTAAAACATTTTCATGTCTGACGTCACATAATCTTGGTTTTACTTGTTTAGTGCTGCTGATCTATGAGGCAGTTTTTAACACAAAGAAACTTTACAAAAGGGAAAAATATCAAGAGGTGGAGGAAGGAGAGGGATCGGGGAGAATTAAATAAAAAAGGATTAAAATACGTTATATACATCCACTAAATTCTCACAGTGATTGTACACATTTTATATTTCAGACATGTATTAATAAAAATAAAAGCAACAATATGAAGAGTGAAAATGCAACCTGGAGAATGGGAACTGAATTTTGCCAGCTGTTCTTCAGAGAGAAGATTAATATTTATGATATATAAAGGACTCAAAAATTAAACTGCCCCTAAATAAAATAACTCAGTTAAAAAATTGGCAATTGAAATTAATAGTCATACCACTGAGTAAATGTTGTATAAATGTCCATTGTATACATGAATAAATGCTTAACATCTCTGGTCATTAGAGAAATGCAATTTAAAGCAACACTTAGATTCCATATTACCCCAGAAAGAATGGTGACCGTGGAGAAATGAAATAGTAACAAATGCTTCTCAGCTTCAGAAAAAAAGAAGCCTTCTACATTGTTGGTGGGAATGTAAACTAGTATGATGATTATGGAAATCAATATGGAGGGCTTTTGAAAAACTAAACAGAAATTCTATTTGACCCAACTATTCTCCTTCAAGGTATCTTGCTGAAATAGCTAAAGGAATCATATTACAGTGATACATACATACTCATAATTATAGCAGCAACTTAATAATAACTGAATCTTAGAAACAGTCTACACGTCTATGCACATGTGAATAGATAATGTTTAACCAGCAGAGAACTGCTCTACTGGTTACATACTCTATCCTAAAAAGATAAATGTAAATAGTACATAGAAAAATGTATAGACTTTGAGAACATAATGATCCATGAAATAAATTAAGCATTTGAGGTTAAACATTGCACAATTTTTCTTCTTACAAATACAATAATAAGGAAAATAAATAACAGATAATAGAAGAAGGTGGGTAGATTATTCTCAAATGGGAAGAGGATTAAGAAACACAAGAAAGGGGAGGAAGGGAAGGAAAGGGAGTGAAGGAAAAAGAACTGTGATGTGTTATATACACATACCATTGCAAAAGAACATAATAAAAATTAATAGATGAATAAGTGAACAAAACCAGAAACCTAGACAGAAAATTTGGCAAAAATTAAAGATTAAATAATCTCAACCAGTGGTCTTCTCAGCCATTCTGTTATTATTTTATTTAAAAATATTTGTTCTTGTTAGCCTTGCTTTGTTTTATTCCATGAAAATCTGAATTGTTGCAATATTATTTGTGTTTGAAATATCTGATTTGAGAAATTCAATTTCTCATATTCAATTGACTTTTCAAGTTACAATGAACAAAAGGATGTGGGAGGTCTTAAGGAAAGAGAGTTTTTCATGGTATCATAAAATTAGAATGAAATGAATGCAATTGTTTTCACAAAGCTGAAATTTTATGCATATGACCCACACTTTACCATGCCTATGTAGATATACATAAACTCTGTTTTGTTGTATCACTTTCTATTCTTTTTACATTTTGTAACCTGATGTGTAAGGGTGGGGTTTACTGGAACATGCTTAAAGTCTCAGGTAATTTGTGGAAATAGACCACAGCTTTCACTGAGTCTAACTCTAAAGTATACCAATCCTTTTGAGACTGCAATTCAGGTATAATATGAAGAAAACTCTGAAGACACATTCGTAAAAGGTTAAAATAGTTCAAAATCGTTAAGCGGGCTAATTTCTGTGAAAGGTTAGAGTTATTTACTTTTATAAAATTTCTGCTTCTAAAACTATTTTTTTAATGCCTGATTAGGCACAGTCACCTTGCCCTTTTCTTAACTGTGAGAACATTCCTCCATGTCAATGCCATTGATTCTTAGTAATACACTCAGTGAACAGCAATTTAGTTTACACCATGTGTAGTAAAATTTAATAACTGGAAACAAGATGTTTTGATGACAAAATCCTAAATAGGTGACATTGTCTTAGGTATGGGTACTGAGAGAGAAAACAGATACCACAGGATCAGTACATTCAATCCTGGTAACAGTGCAGAAAGTATTAGCCAAAACAGTTTTCTAAGACAATTGGCAGGCACACCATAATTATACAAAATTCTACACATTTCTGAAGGCCTCCATTCATGGCATTTTAACATTAGCATATCCTTGTTTGTTGCTTTTTATAATATACATTTTTATAAGATATCATGAAAAATATGAATTCAGAGAATTAGATTATTTGAAAAATGGCAGACTGTTCTAGGGTGTTCTCTCTGCCTGCAGCTTATTACTAGAATTGATAGGGAGCTAAGATTTTGAGGGTTCTGTTATGTTGAGATGACAACTACTTCTTAGCTTCCATCACTCATAACTTAAAGTATGAGAAGTTTATTTACCTTTGTTTTCATACACTTTAGTCCAAGTTTGGATGGGTGTGACGTGGAAGACGTATGGTGGAAAAATGTGGTCCCTGAAAACAGCTCAACCCCTTCTGCTAAGCAGCATAAGCAGCACAGAGAGAAAAGAGGAAGAAGCAAAGACGATACATCCTTCTAGGTCAGGCCATCAGTGACTACACCTTGACCAAGGCTGTGGACTGACAAAATATTCTGATATGAAGTTATTAATATTTTGTGGTCACTTCAGCAGCACATATACTAAAATTAGAACAATACAGAGAAGACGAGCATGGCCCTGAACAAGGATGTTATGCAAATTCGTGACGCATCCCATATTTTAACATGTCAAAAATGAACCAAGTTATAACCATTAATTTAAATGGCCTCAATTCACTAATTAAAAGAAACAGACTTGCTGAATAGATCAAGAAACAATATACAACCACAAGCTGTCTATAAGAAACCCATCTAACTCAAAAGGAAACTCATAGATTGAAAGTCAAAGGATGGGAAACAATACTTCATGCAACAGGAACCCCCCAAAAAAACAAACAAACAAACAAACAAACAAACAACAACAACAACAACAAAAAGAACAAGTGTAGCTATTCTGTTTGCAGATAATGTGAACTTCAAAATAAGAATGATCTGAAGAGATAAAGATGGTCACAACATACTAGTTAGGGGAAAACTTCAAGAGGAAACCATAACAATCTTAAATATATATGCACCAAATTCCAGAGCACCTGGTTATACAAACAAGTATTAACAGAAATGAAAAAATAAATAAGCAATACAACAATTCTAACAGGAGACCTTAACATGCCATTAATACAACAGGACAGATCAACCAGACAAAAATATCAGCAAAGAAACAACAGAACTGAATGAATCACACCTGTGAACAAATGGACTTGATAGATGTATACAGAGTGTACCATCCTGTATATAGACTGTTCCATTCTGTGCAGAAGAATATATATTCTTCTCTGGAGAACATAGACTATTCTCTAAAATAGACCATATAATAGCCCAGGGAACATACTTGAGTAAACAGGAAAGAATAGAAATTATTGCATGCCTGTAATCAGATCATAGTGCCATGAAACTACAAATTAATGATAAAATAAACTGCAAAAGCCTGCAAGCATGTGTAAATTGAATAACACACTCTTAAGCTATCAAAAGGTCACAGAGGAAATTAAAGAAGAAATTAAATAATATCTACAAGCAAATGAAAATACAAATACAACTTACAAGAACCTGTGAGATGTAATGAAAACAGTTCTCAGAGGAAAATTTACTGCAGTTAATTCCCATATTAGGAAAACAGAATGAACCCAAATAAAAAACCTGATGCTACACCTCAAATATTTAGAAAAAGAAGATCAAGTAAAGCCAAAGCCAAAGAAGGAAGGAAATTATAAAGATCAGAGTAGAAATTAATAAAGTCTAAGAAAATGATCCACACAATGAATGAATCAAAGAGTTGGTTCTTTCAAAGAATAAATAAAATTGATAAGCCCGTAGCCAACCTTATTTTTAAAAAGGAAAGAAAAACTCAAATTCATACAATAAGGAATGAAAAGGACGAAATCACTACATACCCTGTGTAAATACAAGGATCATCAACACCTATCTGGAAAACCTCTACTCTCAGGTTCGATAATACAGAAGAAATGGTTAGATTTCTAGAAAAATGCAAACTATCAAAGCTGGGTCAGGAAGATGTAAAAGTGCTGAATAACACAATTTCTATTAATGAAACTGAAAATGTAATTAAATCCTTACAAACAAAGATGAGCCCAGGCCCAGACAGATTCACTGTGGAATTCTACAAGAAATACAAAGAAGACTTAATGCTGACTCAAACTCTCCAATGAAATTTGAGAGGAAAGCAATTCTTCCTAACTCATTCCTGGAAGCAAATATTACTCTAGTACCAAAACCTAAAGAAGACCCAACCAAAAAAAAAAAAAAAAAAAAAGAACTATGGGCTAATCTGCCTAATGAACATAGATGCAAAAATTCTCAATAAAATATTGGCAAACAGGATGCAGCAAATAATCAGAAGATTATACACCATAACCAAGTGGGATTCATTCCAGGCATGCAGGGATGGTTCAGCATACATAAATGAATAAATGTAATCTACCATATCAATAGAGCCAAAAATAAGAATCATATTATCATTTCAATAGATGAAAAAGTTTTTGATAAGGTCCAACACTCATTCATGATAGAAAACTTATCAAGAATTGAAATAGATGGTCTTTATCTAAATATAATAAAGGCCCTCTATGGCAAAACAACAGCTAGCATCAGATTAAATGGTCAAAATATGAAAGCCTTTACCTTAAAATTAGTCACAAGACAAAGATGTTCCTCATCACCACTCCTATTCAACATAGTACTGGAAATACTAACCAGAGCAATTGGAAAAGAGAGAAATAAAAGGAGTAAGGATAAGAACAGAGGAAGTTAAATTATTATTATTATTTGAAGATGACATGATACTCTACATAGAAGATGCCCCAAAACTCCATTGAAAAAAATTCTAAGTATAGTAAATAAATTCAGTAATGTAGCTGGATACAAAGTCAACACCAAAAAATCAATAGCATTCTTATACACTAACAACAAATTTACTGAGAAAAAGAAGAAAAGACACACACTTCACAATAGCATTCAAAAAATGAAATACTTAGGAATTAATCTCACAAAAGAAGTAAAAGATCTATTCAGGAAAAGTTATAATACCATAAAAAGAGAAATCTAAGAGGATCTCAGAAAATGGAAAGGCATCTCTTGTTTACAAATAGGAAGAATAAATATTGTGAAAATGGCCATTCTCCCAAAATTGATATATAGATTTAAGGCAATCCCAAAATCAAAATACCACTAACATACACCATAGATCTAAATAAATCACTCTTAAAATTAATCTGGAACCGGAAGGATCTAGAATAGCAAAGGGAATTATTAATATGAAAGGTAAAGCATGCGGCATCCCTGACTTGAAGTTATACTGCAAAGCTACTGTAAATAAAATAAACATGGTACTGAAATACAAACGGACCTGAAGATCAATGGAATAGATGAGAAGATAAAACTACAACTACAAACACACTCAGCCACCTCATCTTTGATAAAGGTATCAAACATGTTCACGGGAAGAATGATAGTTTCTTTAACAAATGGTGCTGGAAATATTGGCTCTCCATAAGTTGAAAACTAAAACAAGACCCATGCCTATCAGCATGTTGTGAACAGAAGTCTAAATGGATTAAATATCTAAACATTAAAACAGAAACACTAAATCTGTTGGAAGACAAGGTAGGTAAAAATCTTGAATGCATATGGTAGGTAGAGAATTCATGAACAAGAATCAAACTGCAGGGAAAATACTTCCCAGAATCAATAACTGGGATGACATTTTATTAAAGAATTTCTGCAGGTCAAAAGAAATCTCCAGAAAAGTGAAAAGAAAATCCACAAATTGGGAAAAAAAAAATCTTAGTGACACACAAAGCACTTCTGTCTAGAACATATAAAGAATTTTAAAAAATCAGGCCCCGGAAATTCAAAGACCCAGTCCAAAAATGGGCATCTGAGATGAATACACTGTTCTTATATAAAGAAATACAAATGGAAAATAAATACATGAAAAAATGTTCAGCATCATTAGTCACTAGGGAATTGCAAATTTAAACCACACTGAGATCCCATCTCACTCCAGAAAGAATGGCCAGATCAAGAAAACTACCAACAACAAATGCTTGAGGCTGTGAGGGAAAGGAACTCCTTGCACTGTTTGTGGGATTATACACTGGTACAACCACTGTGGAGGTCAGCCTGGAGATTGCCCAAAAAGATGGCTTTGGAAGTTCCATTTGACCCCACTATTCCACTTCTGGGCATATTCCAGAAGAATTGAAAACAGCATACCACAGTGACAGTTGTGCACCCACACTTACAGCAACACAATTTGTAACAGCTAGATCTTGGAAATAACCTAATTGCCCATCAACTGAGGAATGGATAAAAAGGATATGGCACTTTTATACAATGGAGTACTACTCAACTATAAAGAGTGATCACATTGAGATCTTTATAAATAAATGGACGCACCTCGAGACCATACTCATAAGTGAAATAAATGAAACTCGCACGTATAAATATCGTATAGTCTCCCTAGTGTAAGAAATGATAAAAGTGCATAAGAGTTTATGGCAATTATGGTTCTCAATTATTTTGCTTTGAAGTCTTATAATGTTTTCATTGATTGGTTGGCATGGTTTTATTCTGTTTTGTTTGATTTTATTATGTGTGATGGTATGAACAGCTACACTGAAGAAAGCAGGACCTCATGGCAGCCATTGCTGATTTGATATCACCTTGCTTTGAAGTCTTACCATGCTTTTGTTCTCCTATTTCCATTGGTTCTATCATGTTGGGTATTATTGGATTCTAATATGTGTGATAGTATAAACAATTTTTATGGAAAATTAGCTATTTTAGTAGCCATTGTTCATGTTCTGTTATTTAGGTTTGAATGCCCTGTAATACTTAATGATTTTATAATATTTTATTATGTTTGACATTATTGTGTGTTAAGGTATGATAAACTATTTCAAAGAAAAGAGACATTATGGTAGCTACTGTTAATTTTGGTTGTCTTGTTGTGAAGTGCTGTGTTGCGTATATTGTTCTGTTTTGATTTGCTTTGTTATGTCTTCTTTTGTTTTATTCTTTCAAATAAAAAAGAAGTTATTAATATTTCAAACTGCTGATAAATTTCATGCTTCCATGATCAATTGCATTACAAAAGCTTCACCTCTGAACACATGTGACCTATGGAGCCAGTTTAGATTTAAACAATAACATGTATGATCCATCTAAGCCACTGCTTAGAATACATAAGAAAGAATCAAATTCAGCACACTACAGAGATAACTTAGTACTCAGTTTTATTGTAGAACTATTCACAATAGCCGAGTTATGGAATCATTGTAGGATACCTTTGATATATGAAAGCCTAAAGAAAATGTCATATTTCCACATATCGCATATCTAGTTATAAAGAAGAGAAATTCATCATTTGTAGCAGAAATAGTTGAAATAAATATCAAGATGTTATGTGCAGTAGATCAGACTCAGAAATGCAATTGATGGCAATTTTTGTCTCATACTTGAAATGCACCAAAGAATGACAGCATGAAAGTGGGAGCGACACTATTAGAAGAAAAAGAAGGCAAGAAGGCGGGGAGATAAAAGAACTGCAAGGAAAGAAAGGATATAATCAAATATGGTACATGCATGTGCAAAATCCTCACAGTT